TCATGGGATTGATGCAGCAGATCTTCCCGTAACTTTCTTGGTATAACTTTTTGTAATGGTTATACACCAACAAAGGGAGTATCTCAAATACACTCGGGCCTCCCCGATCATTCATGATCAATCGAGAAATTCATCACGTGTCACCAGCATCACGTGACTTCCACTGTCGTAACAACTGTATCAAAAAAATCACAACAATAATGTTTAAATACTACAGTATTAGTGTACACTAAGCATCATAAGTACAATAAAATATTCACATACCTGTTCTATCTTGTTTTCATCAAGATTAGGCCTCAACATTCCAGCCAGTGATTCATATTTGCCATTAACAACAGCCATTAACTCTGGGAGAGACTCAAAGGAAGATCCATTCTGCATATTACTCTGGTTTTTACTTTGCCTGTTTCAGGTTAAGAAAAACTTTGAAATATAAATCTATATAAATAACTTTCACAACTGAAAAGAATAATTAACTCCACAATTACATGAGGAAATAAACCTGAAGATATTATTAGTTTATGATAATTTTATGAATGATTTAGCATAAATAACCACAATGTACTACTATAAAACATATATTTACTACTCCACTCTTTTCTCCTGATGTCTTCCTAAACTTTACACAGATCTACTGAATAACAACAATAAAATCTGTGAAAAACATGCATAAAGATAATAAACCAGGTTTAATCATGATAAAGAGCTAGCTTCTGTATGTTATTTTAAATGTATACTTTTATTTATATTTTTAAGGATGACTCAGAACTGTTCTGGTGCTGGTAAAAAATATTGTATTTTGTAGGTCTCAAGCAAAATTAATTCAGTGAAGTTTATGCCTAAAAGTACCACCAATATTTTATACTTCAATATGTAAACAGTACAGTTTATATTAAGACCAGACATCAGATGTTATCTTTCAATAGCAAAAGTGTATGTCCCACTTTAATAAACATACATTCCTCAAAATAATTAAGGAATAATTATAGCTGCTAGAATTAGCAGCTATGATAAGACACTAATAGTGTTATTAAATAATGTCAATCACACCCGACTTTATTTTTTACGAAAAACAAGTGTTAACTCACCAATCACATAATTTCATATGCAAGTGTATATTACTAGAGTTCATATCCACTGTTGCTCATTCAGTACTACAGATTTTGCAGCTCAATATATGATGAGCTGTTTTAACTGCTGAGAACAGAGTTTCCTTCACTTTTATACATGACTAAAATCAGCTTGTCAGATTACAAGACAAACCATCTTAAACACTATTTCAAGTCATACATACATATGGAAAACATAAAATGAGTAAATCAATGAACTCCTGTGATAATATGGCTCCCTCCTCCATCAAAGCGCTTCAAGTTCATCAACAATACTTGGAAGTAAATTACATGATATCAAGCATCTTCATAGAGCATCTCATACATGGTCAATAAGATTTATTAGTCAGTTAAGTGTGCTGGCTAGTCCATTCAATCAATATCCTCTTCTTCCAGAAAGTTGCATACGACTTGAGCAATGTGTGGATTCATGTTAACATCTATTAAAAGAAAGTTATGACAAAATGCAATCACATATGGCAGCTTTAATGACTATAAGACTGCTTCCCTTTATCATATGGCATTCATAGTACTGTGTTGTAGTATACAAAAATCAATGTGGCCACCAATCTGTTTGCCATCACCACATGTTTGTCTTTCTTCAATGAAAATGAGATTGGATCTTTATACCACGCACTTTACAAGTATACACGTTTTGTACATGGCTGCAAAGAGAAGAATTACTTATCTTGTAAAAATGCATCCACTCACATATTGCTTGACCAATCCACATGATCTTGATACTACTGAAGATGGACAATTTTGTGGTAATGAGTAAAAGAAACCATATTGCTGATCATCTAGCATATCCATACTATGTTTATGGTGGCAGTGGCAACTAGCATTGGGAGGGGGATTGAGTGAACATTACAACCTTTTTATAGTTACATTCAACATTTAATGAAACAACTTTATTATCCATGTATGTAAATAAACTTGGCATACATAAAAATCTTGGTTATAATTTAAAGTTTTATATTATACAAATTTAATTTTTTCATTAAAAAAGTTAATGTTGAATAAATTCTTAATCCTGACTCCTGCATATCACGTAACACATCTCCTCTATGATTCTCTGATTTTCAATGTTCTCTATTCCCTTCTAAGGTAGTCAGAAAAGCCAACTAAACAGAAACTCAGGCTACAGATATTGACAGGTGATAACATCAAATCTAAATTTCCCATCTTCTTGAATTAGTGAGATATAAATAAATCTGTGATACCCACCATTGTGGCTCCTCCCATCTTGTCATACCTTTGAATGAATTTATATATATCATTTCCTCTTTTTTTTTTTATATAAACAACAGAAAGAAAATTTTGTCCCCTACTAGAATCAAATAAAAATTGTTTCTTTTTGGCACACATTTCTATACAGTTGAACTCAGAATTCCTATGCGTGGTCATTATTGTTGAGCTATGAATGGCTAATGGAATTTTTAACCTATTTGTCGCTTAATTAGAAAACCAGTTAAATTACAGTACTTTTAGGACATTATGTATTTTGCACATATATTATTTAGTTTTCTATGTCTCACACTTGAAATAAACACTTAAGATATTTTGGACCACCACCATCGTTAGAAACAAGTAGAAATCCAGACAATTAGGTACTAAATTTCTTATGTTTTAATTGTTGTTATAAAAGTAAACCAACTGTAAAAATCAGAAATTTATCAAGATAAGAAAACGTAAATGAAACAAAAGTGAAATAAAAAATTTCTGATAGTCAATAACATAGCATGCTATGTGCATGAGATGCGTTTCTAATTCCTTCATGTCATGTTTGTAACTTGACTGTTTACATAAAGCTGTTTGGCTCCGAAATATTGCTTTGGCATACACTGAAAGGGTCTAAGTGCAGCTGTACAACAATAAAACTAAATGAATCCAGATTTGAAAAGTTTATCAGCTTTTGCTGTAAGAATAAATTGTATATCACAATATGTAATCATTCCAGAAAAACAAAAAAAAGGTAATTTTAGACTTATTTCATATTTTTCAACTTTTTATTTTACCCTAAATTGCTGATTTTGCTAGAGTTAGTGTCAGGGTAAAGAAAATAACACATAAAATTAAAGTTGTACTGGAAAACAAAAGACTTTCAGTATTCTTTTAGGAGGTTCTAGAGTCTATGCAAATGAAATATGAAAACTATAAGATAAAAAAAAAAGTACTTTCATTCTTAACAGAAAAAATCACCTTCCACTTAGACTGGTCAGAGTGCGATTCAGATTGAATCAGTAACTTCATGGACAAATCTTTAGTAAGAATACCTTATTAAAAATTATGATTTTTTTGTTTATGACCACTTGGATATTCATTTGTTGTCCATTTTCTACTTTGAACTGTTGATTCAGTTGAAATGCTAATGTCCATCAGGTTCTTTGAGGACATATTGTGAAATGGCAGTTGTTTTGCATGGTTGCCAAAAGTGTTCTGCATTTTTCAGGTTTACAATTAACTGTAGTAGTTGTGGGCTGATAAGCATACTATGTGAGACTTATAGCCATCCTGCATTGGCTTGCCATGTTTGATGAGTTTCTAGCCAACTTTTTAGTCCTCAACATTATGGAAATTTTTAAATTTCTTTGTTGGAATCGAAGTATGCTTCACAATAAACCTTTTTTTTAAACACTGTGTTGGAATTGTTGAAAACACAGTGTTTCCTTTGCTTTTATATACAACTGAAATGTACATGTTAGATCACAAAACAAGCCTTCTGATACTTGTTTTGAATAAAAAGGAGCTCAATGTTACCAGTAACATCATTTCATATCAGTAACCGTGGCTTGTTGCAGCTAGAATATAAAAAAAACACTCTTATTCCTTAATTATTTTGATTAGTGATGTTCTGTGTGAACCTATCATAAGATTAAAAAGTTCTGAGCATATAAGTACATTCTAGAGAAAAATGTAATATATTCAAACAGTTACTTCATAATTTTACAAAAAAATCCAACCATAAAGTCTCCATTACACATCTGCTTTAATATAAACTGTCCATGTAAACAGATACAATTGTTACTGCTATGAACATAAGAGAAATACCACCAAATCTGATTACAGTATAATACAATAAACAATTTTATACATTGACATCCTTTCCTTAAAACTTTGTGATTAATACATAACAATGATGTATCTTTACAATAATAAAAATGATAATGTGGATCATTTAGTTCTATAAGAGATTATTTTGTAAATGTTATTTTGTGGATCTGTCGGCAGTCAAGATAATGTAGATCAACAAAGGAATCCGTTTTTAAACTATATTGTGGCCCCATAGTGCAAATAATGTAGCCAAATGTGAGGATTGTTTCCTGTGTTGTGACTCTGTAATGCATATGATGTGGTTCAATAGGAGTATTCTTTCCTAAGCTATGATGTGATTTTGTAACGTGGTGATGTGTAACCTAAACAATACATGAATAATGATTTAGTGTGTTATTTTCATTACCCAAAGTCATGCAGGTGATAGCATTCTATATGAGGAAGGCTTAACAAAGTACTGTCTGTCTGCCAGCAAGCTTGTATTACCATCTGTAGAATTCCAATCACACGAAGTGTTGTGACCAGCCACCCTTGATCTGCTGACACATCAATCATCGCCTAAACAAGTAAGACATATAATCAGAACAGTATTAATGGTAGCTGTAAAACTAAATTTCATAATAATAGTTGTACTATACGTTACAAAGTAAGAGTGAGGATTTCTCTTCAACATTGTTTTCACTTAATCATCAATTCTTAATATTTGTATATATATTACATACATATTATAAGCCTACATCAATACGAGTAATTGTACTATTCAAAGACAGAGAAGAAAAGCTAATAATCATAAACATAATGTAGCAACAAGAGAAATAAGAAAGATAATCACACTATTAATGGCTGAAGAAGCTGAATGAAAAAATCATAACCATGTGACACATGGCTTGAAAAGTATATTAACTGTGGCTAAAAATCTAAAACAGGTAACTATGATCATGAAGCAATTTGAAAATTTTTGAGTTTTATTAGTTGAAAATACATAAAATAAAAACTTAATGGTTTTTAGTATAAGCAAATAGTCAAGGATATATATAAAAAGAAAAGAGGCAACAAGAGGACACCCGTGTTACGAAATAGGCTTGCAAAATCAGCCTTGAGAATTGATAAACAGGAAGTTAGTTATGTAAGTAGTATCGCCTAGGAACAAGCAACAAGACACGTGTATTACAAAAATAAGCTTGAGAAGCGAGCTTGGAAATCAGTAACCAAGGTCAGCAGCAGAGTTAGTAAGAAATGCTGCCTAGAAACAGGATGAAGACACCAGTACATATGACAATTTGAAGAATTGTTGACCTCGCCCTCTAAGAACTAGGAAAGCTACAGAAAAGTTTAGGTTTGGTAAATCATATCGGCACTTTGAGGTGGTATTAGTTACAGCACATGGGTGTAGCAGTACAAGTGAATAGGCAGCCGGCTAACACCACTTATCTATGACCAATTACTTGAGAGTTTTCATTATGGTTCTGGTTTAGCCCGGGAATTCCCCTAAAGTATCCAATAGGAGCACAGGACTACTTGTGTGTGATGCTGTGTCCTATTTAGTAGGTCGAAATAATACAGAGAAAAGATAGTTTAAAAACCCATGTCAGAGGCTGAAAAGTTAAGTTTTTCGAGACTGAAAAGTTCTCCCGGACTGAAGATATGACAATGAAAATGACTAACGTGGCTAAGGCCTCTAACAAACCAACTCTACTGTAAGTATAATCCCTCTCTCTCTCTTAATCAGCTAATGTAGAAATCATAGAAGATAGTAAATGTATGTAGGTAAAGTTTTTAATACGATATATAAGTAATAACTCGATAGAACTAATGTTTAAAGTGTGTAATGTTTTTTGAGGAGTTATCAAATGTTAAATAAATGTTATTTTAAGTGTTCACTCTTGGCCTGAGACTCAATTTCTTTAGTCTAACCGTAAACTTCCTCCAGTTTGCGACTTGTGGCTCCACTCGTCACGACAAATCCTCCAATAAATAAATTTGGTATAACGAGTAGTTTCAATTGAAACTCCAACAATTAAGCCCACCAGGGCACTACTCATTACAATCATACCATTAGTCATTAGAGAAGTAAAGGATGAAAAAGCAAGTTAGGTGATCACAAAGAGAGTACATGAAGCGTGAAAAGTAAGCTGATAATGGCAATTTTGGTCAACCTTGCAAACACCATGTAACCAGGAAACTATACATGCTATAAATCTGTTTTAGGAAAAAATATTTTTTAAACCAGGTACAGCATTTGATTACTGGTGTGATCATTCTCAAATGCACAGGTATAATGATCACACCAGTGATCAAAATGTCATACCTGTTTTAAAATATATTGTTCTTTACTGTAAAAGCTATATCTTGTAATAAAAAAAATGCTTATCATCAGTAAATAAACTCATAAGAATCTGTTAATGCTATAATGTTAATAGTTTTTAATAAACTATTGATATTTTGAATAGTTCTAATAAAACTATTACTTAAGTAATTACTTTATTATGTAACATCATAATATGCTGTATGTACTAACTGTATCTTCAAAACATTTGGCAAGCTTTGAGTAAACATAAGAAGTCTGTTGTACAGAAAAATAAAAGAGGAGTGAGACATGTATGTGTTTTATTACCTGATATATTTAACATCTACAGCAAAAATATCCTAAAAGGCATTGAACTAATAATATAACAAGAGAGAAATTTATACTAATGATTTGTCTGAAAACATCCAAAGCCTTTATCGTCATTCAGAGTGCAAGGTGATTTTCATGCTAAGAATAGAAATACTTCTTTTCAGATTTCAATTTCATATGTAATTTGCATAACTACTAGAACTTCCTAAAGGAATATCAAACTTTTATTTTCAGTAAAACTTTATATTTTATCTGTTGTTTTCTCTAACACTAACTGTAGAAAATCAGCAGTGTAGAGTAAATTGAAAAGTTAAAAAACATGAAATATATCTAAATTACTTTTTAATATAACAGACAATTACATTTATCTATACACCTGGAAAAAAGTTAAGCACCCCCATATATTTTTCAGGATTGCTTATTGAAAATAAGGTTTAATTTTCATGATATTGAGCAATGTTTATAACTTCAAACATAATTAAAAGGATGTGAGCGTTCAGGTGTGACATTTAAATCAGGCGCGTTTTTTTCCTCACGTGCAACTTGCTCCCTTCTTCACGTCCAATATGCACTATTTTCTCGTGCATCAAATCCGTATTTAAGTCCCGAATTT